AATGCAACGGAACTCAACGTCCGCGCGATTTTTTTGAAAGTTCGTGACCCAGTGGAGAGCAAGATAAGAAAAACGTCAAAACGAAAAAGAGCTCGGTCAACGTCAGTTAAGAGTTGAGAGTGGTCATGGCCTCAGTGTTGCATTGGATGTAACAGAATGAAGTACGTGACATATGGCGACATAAAGTATCAAGCAGTACCATCCTTCACCCCACCCACTGCCAATCTGGCTGCTTTATTTGTGCAAAGTGAACTGTTACAGAGGTGAGTCCCTCTTACTTACTTCCATTCCTTTACCGGTCTGAATACTTGCAGTGATTCGCAAAACACTGGGTACCAACTCGCTCTCCCCTTGACTGCGGGATGGTGTTCAGCGACACTCCACTTAGCCTTCCCACCAATGACGTTGGCAATAACCGCCCGCCTCAGCTATCGTCCCTAAATCCTTCAGTTACTTGTTAGTTAGTTGTTGAGGGCACTTCGTCTTTCCCCACTTTTTTTTAGTTTTTGTAAGCTATTGTTTTCATCGTTGTACGTAATGTATGTTTTGTGGACCTGAGGAACGGCCCGAAACTCTCTCAAAGGTTTCTCTTTCACATAAACTGTGAAAGAGAATCATTTGAGAGAATCATTCGAATAACACAAATATTCCTGCTAGTAGCAAGTACCCAGGATATTTGATGAACAATAAATCTCAGAAACTCTATGATCTCATTCGACTCCTACACACTCTTGTATCTCGTCTGTCTATTTCTTGGATCGCTATGTAGCAATATTCTAAGAAAATAGTTCGAGGTTTTTGACCTTCACTCGAATACTCTTGTTAAGAACCGTCAACGTCTCTAATGGGAATGATTGGAGTACGTCATCATGAGCCCTGTCACTGCCACATTTTCGCAGGCAGGGCGCTCTTCCTTATTGGAATGACTCATGAGCTGTTATGCCTGTCTAAGCCTTTCAACTGTCTACCTCACTGAAATCACTACGTTTCTTCCATGACATTCGTTTAGTAATACGTCAGTGATACTGCAGTCACTATCAGTTCGGCTGACGCGTACTTTCTGGTGCACCACCCGACACCCTCCCCTGAATCAAACTAGCGGATCGAACATCACGTCCTCTGAATGCTGTCGGAACCACAATTTTCTCGTGTTCTCCTTCTTGGAGAGATTACAAAAATACCTCTACTATGGGCGAATACCTAAGCAGTCAAATTAGCTACTGAAGTGCCTCGTAGCATGTCATCCCTGATGCAAGCCTGCTTTTTACATTTTCTACCCCTGAAGCGTCACTTTCCATACACCAGTCGGCTCGCCGGCTAACGCCGGCGCGCCTCCTTCTGATACGGCCCGGCTGCGCCGGGCGGCGCGGCTTCGCCGCGCGTATTTTCTTTCACATATTTCTAGACTCAACTGATATCCGCCTTTTGTTCTGTACTCCACTTTTTTCCGGTGTCTGAAGTACTCTTGAGCTATTTTACAGATTCTTCGTCTGACTCCGCCCACCTCGGAGCAGGCTCCGCCCACAATGTTTGTGCCCCACAATCCTCACCGACCCTCTGCTGACCTTAATATCCACTTTTTTCGCGGTCTTCGAGTGCTCTGGAAAAGCCGTTTTAACGGGACGCTTTTTGTCTGGCCCGCCACCTCGGAGCAAGCTCCGCCGCAAATATGTTTACCCCACATTTCTCCAATAGGCGACCCGGTTGCTGAACGCTGAAATTCACTTTAATTCCGACTCGGAGTGCTCTGGGAACCGTTTTGCAGATCTTTTGTCTGACTCCGCCCACCTCGGAGCAGGCTCCGCCCACAATGTTTTTGCCCCACAATCCTCACCGACGACCCTCTGCTGAACTTAATCCACTTTTTCCGGTATCTGGAGTGTTCTGGAACGAGCTACAAACTTTTAATAAAACGCCCCACCCATTTAGGGTGTACCTGCCACAGTTAGTCTGGCGACTCCTTACTAACGTTAGTCCCTTACTAACGTTAGTCCCTGCGATTTAGGGCAAGCTCCGCCCACTGTGGGCGGGTCTCAGCACACTTTGAGCGTGCCCTATATTCGCCGGATATTTACATTCTACACTGAGTTTTTTCTTCCAAACACTCTCGCGAACCGGGTTACTGAATTTTGCGAGAAGCACCGCCCACCTTGAGTACGCCCCGCCCATTTAGGGTGTACCTGCCACAGTTAGTCTGGCGACTCCTTACTAACCTTAGTCCCTTTTTTCCCCATCTTTAAGCTGCTCCGGAAGCGAATTATGAACATTTTTCTGTATCTTCCTGCGAAAACCCCAAACTTTCGGCCGAATGCGAGTGCCCCGCCCACTGTGGGCGGGGCTTGCCATAGGTCAAGTGTGCTTTTTTTCTTGTCCCATGCCCTACCTATCCCCACCTTGACTGGACCTCTCCAAGTCGTTCTTCAGGTCGAACCGAATTTCCGGACAGACAAACTTACAAACTTACAAACAAACAAACAAACAAACAGACAAAGCGAATTTATATATATGTCCGGTCATAATCAATAAGGTTCTTGGATTCTTGTACCTGTTCTTGATCGATATGCTCGCCGCTCCCGTAACTGGAAAGTTACTGCCACGCTGAAGTTAGCGCAAGAATTCAGAATAATATTTTAATTTGATGGTAACGCTAAGTCTTGGGATCTTGTACCCTCGGCAGTTGCTCACCAGGATTGTTCCTTGAGAATGCTTGTCGCTTGACGCAGTCTTGAACGCTCAGTAGGACTCCCACCTCCATCTCCAATCGACCACTTTTATATGGAATCTTATGTTGAAGTATGTAAACATAATCTAAAGAGAATTATTATTTAGAAGCGTTATAATGCAACATTGCTCACTGATCCAAAAGATAAGAGGCTGAGAACTTGGAGCGCGGATGGACTACATCGCTTACAGTAACTGAGAGAAGAAATCTTCTAACCGTGATAGTTAAGTTGCGCTTGGCGACCATAAGGGAAGCCTGAATTCAGTTCTTTATTCATTAAGAGAGCATGACACTTGAGCTCATAGGTGATAGCAGATGTGTTCTCGTTCAAGATCCCGTTGATCCTATCTGTTTCAACCCTTTGTTCTGTCGCCAGCTGCCGATATCTTCACCTTACGAGCTATTTCACGATGATGGACTCGTGTGTCGTCGGTGCTGTGACGAGCGCAAGAGCGTGAATTAGAACTGTAAATTCTTTTCTGACGATCACCACCTAATCTTGTTACTGGATATCATTTTCTGTCGCTCACTAATAGTGTTCGTATCTCCGACTGCGTAACTCATTGGAGCTGTTGTCTCACAACTGGAACGATCGTGAATTTTGTGGCAGACAGAGGGACAAAACAGACAAGCAGACAGACACGCATACACAGGCTATCTGATTAATAAGCAAGACAGACCGATTGTCCCTGGTGGACAGACAGACGAATTCACGCACTCAAAGTTATCATCCACCACTGATGTTCGCGTCTCCCTCGCTTATCGCTAATTGAAACTACAGTCCCTCTGGACCGACGCTATGAATTTCCTAACAGACACACACAGACAGACAGGCAGGCAGACAGACAGACAGACAGACAGAGAGACAGACACACATTTAGCGGATCATACATACTACAACATCTATCTTTTTTAGGTCCATTCAGATGGATGAGCAAGCGGCAATAATCACAGCAGAACGGCCGCACCTTTTCACACTGAATGACGATTCTGAAGCTGTACTCATCGGCATAATCTACATTACTCTTTCTGTGATTATGATCCCATTTTACGCCATTATCAATTGGGTAAGAGGAGCCTTTGCGAATCCATGTATTTATTATACTGGAGGAACCTCATTACACCGCAACAAAATATTCTGTGGGAAAGTTAGGGGACTTTCTGGAAATTTCGGTTTGGATTGCTAAGGAGTGTACCGAAGGTTTCAGCAGACAGGAGCGTGATCGATTTCTGCCGGATTTTCAAGCCTAAAAGTTGGGAATCTGGAGAGCTTGTCACCAAATTCAAGGAGGATCTTGTTCACAATGGCATTATATGAATGCTTCGCAGCTGGATAGATCTCTTCTAAAGATGAGCAGCTACTGTTTGGCAGTCGGAAAGCAATGATAAAGGCCCGTTTATTCCATGAAGGCCTAGATACCAGTAAATTGTTAGAAACTCTAGGGTGCGCCCGTATGACAGCCACCAAAGATTTCTTCGTGATGGGGAAACATTTTCCCCCCAGCATAGTAACTGGTGAGCTACACTTGTCTTGGGAGGCAAACCAGATGATCGCAGGTGAGTCACATCTTCTTTGTTGCTGCGGAAGCAGTCACCGACAAACATGGACACGGGAACTCGGGTGCCTCATGTAAAGAATGTATGGAAGGTTCACAGTATATCTAGGAGACAAGACAGCAGCGGAGCCAAAAGCGTAGAAGAGGTTTCAAAAGGCTAGTGGCAGGACCTCAAGAGGATGCAGCTGGATATTGATGTAACAGTAAAGGTCATAGCCCCTCCTGATCAATGCCGAGGACTGGCTCACGTCACTTATGAATACCTACGGAAAACCCGAACTTTGCTGCTCCAGTTGCACATGACGAAGATGGCGTGTCGGACAACTATAAATCCCTGGGCGAGTAGTTTGTTACTACCACCCGACAAAGCTGCTGAGTCGCCCTTCAGAGAAGGAAAAATTTTGTAATGGGCTTTGGCTCCGGAACAAAATCGACAATTTCGCTGAAGTCGGTCAGGCAAGAGCCCGAGATAGTGATGAAGATTGCCTCGCTGGTCGAAGCGTACTCTCCATGGAAGAATTCTGCTGTTAAGGGAGACGGCGTGATATTTCACCCTGTCTATATCACACGATGGACAATGTTGGGTGGAACGTAAAATTTTCTCAGGTAATGGACCATTTGAGATTAGGCTACTCTTTTTCAGGTGATGTGGAGTGATAAAGATATCCAACGAAGTATGGTATTCCGAATAATGATTCAGATAAATATCATCGACTGCGCCCAACTCATATGTCACTTTCTCAGTGGTTTCTTTCCGATATATCCAGAAATCATCCATCGCTCCCGATTCTTTTCCAGTGTGAGTTTCCGAGTCTATAGTACTGAATATCAAATTACTCAGGGTTAGGTGGGAGTACACTAACAATTCAAGGATGGTAGGTCGAAGTGGCCATTTGAAATGAAATGTATACCGGCTGAAAGGTCTTCGGACGGGAATTACGAAACCGTCTTCCATATCTGCTGCGGACCTCCCAGAAAGAAGTTACGGAGCTTTTTAGGGGGAGAATCACTACGAATTGGCGGCGTAAGGCTGACGAGATCGTGGCAGCATGGCCGAGTGGATACGTCGTAGGGCTCACGGATGCGTGGTCGAGGGTTTGGATCCTTGATGCTTGTGCCCTTTTGCATTTTTTCGATAATGTCGTGACGTAATGATTCTGAACTGATGGAGCCATTGCGAACGATTTCATGGAGATCACCTCCGGCTGAAGAGATTGTCATACGAGCCGAAAACTTCCAGCAGGTGCGAAACCACTTTGGGATAGACATCATTCAACACTATGTGAGTGATGAATGAAGGTTTTGCCCATCGCGATCTCCAGCATGATTGCCACATCAACGCCACTTCATATGAAAGCATTTTCCCCACTATACTCATCTTCGTGCACAACTTCGTGCGCTTCGGATTCGTTTTCCAGTCATGTCGTTTGGAGAATAAAGTCATTTGAAGGCAAAATCTTCCGTTGGAATGCACTTTTGTTGTGTATGCTTTTCAAATCAAAGAAAGAAGAAGACAACAGCCAGAAGTGATCTCCATGGAATCGTTCGCAATGGCTCCATCAGTTCAGAATCATTACGTCACGACATTATCAGGGACAAGTGTTATGCAAAATAGCTTTGAAGTGCACAGGGACCACTTTCGAAAAAATGCAAAAGAGCACACGCATCAAGGATCCAAACCCTCGACCGCGCATTCGTGAGCCCTATGACGTATCCACTCGGCCATGCTGCCACGATCGTATCAGCCTTACGCCGCCAATTCGTAGTGAATGCGAATATTCTCCCCTAAAAAGCTCCGTAACTTCTTTCTGGGAGGTCCGCAGCAGATATGGAAAACGGTTTCCTAGGTTTCCTAGGTTCTCCGACCGAAGACCTTTCTGCTCACGCCACGCCGCGCCTGCTCAGAAGCACTGAATTCTGTCCTGCTAGGCGTATTAATCCTACACATATTGGTGCCTTCAAGGAGACAATCTGTCTTCGCAAGCCGTGGATATTGCGGTTCAGCTGTGAAGTGCCAAGCGCCATTGACTTACATGTAAAAAAAGGGGCGAAATAAATGCCTTAGTGAAGCCCTCCATTCTGTAGGTGATTTTGAGAGTTGGGCGACCACGGGTGATACGATACTCTTGCTCGTCTCCCGGTCCTCTCTGCTATTTCTACCAGCAGTGATGAGTGGTCGACTTAGAATGAAAACAATCAGTAGTAAAAGCTCCATTGGTGGGCTCGTTTACTTCTGGGCCTTTGACGCCATTCCGACACCAACAGTCTGTTGGACCTACCGAACCTCTGAAACTACTCCACTGTAATATGTGTATAATATGCCGTTTTAGTTCGTTGGTTCAACAGTGAACAGTTTGTGGCAAGCGATGTTCCCTTATTTGTGTGTATTGTCCATCACACGTGTTTTAGTTATCAAGAAGAGAATGTCGCCTACTGAAAAACTCACACTTCCTCTGAAGGTGAGGCAAACATATTAAAATCATAGGAACAAACTAAAGCAGAAGTCTTCTCCATAGCTCGCTCACTTCATGGACTCGGATGAAGGGGGCGCTTATATTTTATATTTTTTTTGATATTTTTCTCTTCATTCTACACTATTCAGATAGTTCTCGTCTTTGGATGGGCTTTTAGTGCTTCAGTATGGTTATGGTCATGGTTTGGTATGGCTTTCGTTTTTGGGACCATTGGTTGGGAATACGATTTTGCGCAGTGGAGCTCCATCTACCTGAAGGTATGGTGTCTCAGCTACCTTGAAGGATGCCTATCGACACACTTGTAGATAGCTGTGATGATCGCTATGAGTTCAAAGTTGAGATAGGTTTAAATCCAGATTATCGAAATCGCTTGGTGCTGGCCAGCTATATTTATTTGTTATTTTCTACATCTCGGGATTATTGTAATAGTCGTGGTAAGTTGATTACTTTTCCCTGGGACTGCTATAGCCTACAGAATGTGGACACAAAATTATCGGATGCTTCTGTAAAAAGTCCTCTTGTTTATTCTACCTTCCAAGACCTGATCATGAGCTCCAAAAATCACATGCACTGACTTATCAGACGCGCCAGGCAGTTTTAGTCGAGCGAATGTAGACGGCCCCATAGCACTGTCATTTCGGCCGAGTCACATATGAGCGAAGTTTTCGCAGCCCAGACAGAGGAAGTGGATATGAGTACCAGGGCGGAAGATACCCAAGATCTTCCTCTATAAGCAGGAGCCGGCTGCCGCCATTCACCTTCATGTACACCAAAATATGAAGTCATCTCCAGTCGCGGCCTGAGTGGAGAACGCCTTTGGAATTCACGTGGCCTCCAAACAGCTGCGGAACTTCTTGAATGGAATCACCCATGGATAGCTACCTGGAGACCAGTACTCTGATCTGCAAGACCTCCAACATCGAGCAGCTCCGGCAACGTCGCTACGGTCCAGGACATCATCTTCACCCCATTCACCAAGGCGCGGGTTGATGGTGTGGACCGGCCGTACCTGGAATGGATGAACCGATATTTTCTTCGTGGGCCCCAGACTGAGGGTGTGCGCTGGTGGCTACATCGAGCAACTCGAGGAGAATATCCCATCTTCATGTCGTCGCCCGTACCTTCTTGGAAACTTTGTACTGCTACAGGATTGGGTGACAACACATTTAATCGAAGGGCGTTGGAAAAACTTTCGCCTACTTGGAATGGAAGAACGTTGAGTACCTGGAAAAGATGGAGTATTTAAGCGGGGGTCCTGAACTAAACCCCCTCAATTACTCGGTTCGGGCGGAGCTCAACAGGGTGGTCTACAGTGGCGGAGAAATCAACGATCTCGCTCAACTCCGTACCCACTCACTTTCGCGCGGCCGAATCTCTCGATGGCGCTCCTCCAGAAGGCTGTGGCGGAGTATCATTATAGTATTTAATGTGCTCTTTAATATGGTAGTAAAAATGTCCGATAAAAATTTAATAAAGTGTAACCCGATAAAAATTTAATAAAGTGTAACTTATAGCGCCTTGAAAGTCATGGAGGCAAAATGACTTTTTTTGGCCCCCCTGTATACGGTTTCGGACTGAGAAACTGGCATTCATGTTCGGAAATGCAGACTACTGCTGGAGGCAAGCCAAATCCGCCTGCGGAGAAAAAAGTTGTGATTTCGGAAGGCTGGTGCACAAAGGGTAAACAGTGCAGCGATGCTATGACATCACAAGAATGCTGAGTTGTGGGCAAAAGTCGTGCCCCAGGCGGGAGTCGAACCCGCACCTCACGCTTTCCGGGCGAGTGCGCTATCCGTTACGCCACCAGGGCCGCTTTTACCCTCTCAGCTTAACGGCTTTTATGCCGTAGCCTTACAGCACTCACACGTTTAACTTGGTGAACCCTGGTGGCGTAACGGATAGCGCACTCGCCCGGAAAGCGTGAGGTGCGGGTTCGACTCCCGCCTGGGGCACTTTTGCCCACAACTCAGCATTCTTGTGATAACATTCGGAACGCGTACTGCGGCGTTAAACAGCAGTTATCATAATAAAAGAGCTTGAAAATGATGCTATGACAGCTTTTCATGAGGTGATAAAAAAAACAGGAACGCATCTATTCATTTGAGGGCAACAAACAGCTCACTGGTTCGAAGTCGCGCAGGGAGGAGAAGCTAATCTTTTTCCAAGCAACTGTTCTGAATGGGTGGATGCTTGGTTTGATGGTGGCTTGGCATGGCTCAGGTAGTTTTCACTAGGAACTGATTACATTACTTACTTATTCTCCAATAAATGATGAGACATTGTGTCCCTTGTGTCCGAGTTCTTAGAGTTGGCAAAAGCTCTGAGCTCATCGAATTCAATTACTCTGCGATGATCTTGGCAAGACGATGTTGCTAATTTGTCTTTCTTGCGTCTAAGAGTGCAATCACGAGTTTAATGACATCCGTCGACAAAAGAGATCAACTGCTACGGTGAAGTCCGCTTGTTTTCCCAGCCCCCAGTAACGATAAAAGGCAGGTGAAGCTATGGGACGACAAACACAATGCCGGAGTCCGCAGACATGTCGAGAAAGTACGATCCCTTTCGCTCTATACTTTGGGTGGGGGGAGTTGACAAGGGGTTGCAATGACGCGGCACCAGCTAGTTCTCCACCAATTGTTGAAGCAAGCGGGCGACAGCGATCGGCGGAAAACGGGCTGGGGTCCAGCCAAAGACTGCGTTCATGCTTTGCGGCAGCGTCCATTAGCAACTAATGGCGTCCACCACCGTTCCGAGCGTCATAACGATCTAGCGTCTGCCAGCGTCCATCAGCAGCCAGCAGCTTCTCGAGGTCTAGGGAAGCAAAGGTTTTGATCTAGAGTCTGCCAGTGTCTGCCAGCGTCTACCAGCGATTAGCAGCGATTAGCAGCGTCTGGGAGTAGACAGAAGGGGCGATAGGAAGGTACCAGCAGTCTGCTACCCTCCTATCCGTTCACCATACTCTATCGGCGGTCTGCTACCCTCTTATCTCCCCTTACTCTCCATTCCATCTGCTGGTTGCTGGTTGACGCTCACACTGGTAGGCGCTACATGGATATCTACACTTTTCCAGTGCGGACGCTACCGGACGCTCGGAACGCTGGTGGACTCTATTGGTCGCTGCTGGATGCTGTCGCAATGCATGAACGTAGCCAGATCCACCCTCTCTGACACCCAGCCCTAATGTCTGTACCGAAAATGATTATAAACACTCAAAGCTCGGGACAAATGAGAGATCCAAGAATGTTTATTGAAAGAAAAACTCATGTGGGATAAAATTCCGTTGCTTCCAGGACTTTTGGGACTCACCAAGAACTATCAGCAATGCATAATCAACTGTGTGTGGATTCTCTTTTCCTATCTCAATCCCATACTTCTATTTGTGCTGAATAAGTAAATATCTGGTATTGCACTGCGTAATGATGGTTCATTTGACACTTATTTTCTTACTTTCTAGGACAATACGTTACAAAGTTCTGCAGTTTATCATGCTTCATTGAATATGCTGTGAGGTGAGTAAGAAGCTGACCTACAATCGTGGATGTTGTTTCTGTTGTTTTTGTAGTTGCATTATTCACATACGAAGACTTGTCTGTACAACTGGACAAGTGGCTACAAATGACTTACTCTCACTGAAATGTAGAGTGTAAAGCTGGGAACAAGTTAAAGGCAGTTAAATAAGTTAGCTAGTTAGTTAAATAAGTTTAAATAATAAAGTTGAGTTAAATCCCTGAGGATGAGTAGGAGTGGTGCGCCCGGCAAGGCGGAATTCCGCGACCCTGGTGCTGCACAGCGATTTTTCCTAGGAAGGTACCCTTATAAGGGTCCTATCAAGCTACAACATACCGACCCGAACGCCCACCACGCCCGCCCGCCCACAAATGATGATTGTTGGAGGCGGAGGTGGTGTAGTGACAAGTGGCGCGCTTCACCACTCGCGCGGTCCTGGGTTCGAATCCCAGGTCGACACCCGCCCAGGCCAACCAAGCCTTCTACCCTCCGGGGACGGTAAATTGGTACCAGATTCGTCTGGGAGGATAAAACACTGACTTGTACATCGGCTGGCCACCGCAAGTCATTGTATAGGCCACATCGCATTCAATAAGCCACTACGATTCTGAATGGAAGTAGAATGCGTGCCGCATCCCACAAAGGGATTGATTAACGGCGAAGACTTTATCCTTTATCCTTTACTCGTCCGAAATTGCTTCTCAAGAATAAAGTAATTTCTTCGCAGTTTTCGACCGTTTCACTTCGTTTTTTTGGCCATTTTCACACTAGATATCACACTAGATAGCGCCCTGTTAGCATTTTAGGCTGAGTAGCAAATTATCGTCCAACTGCCGTTAGGCGTGCTTTTCAATAGTTTTGCGACATTTGTAAACTGCGCATCGCAGTTTCGTCTTTTGTAGATTGAGTACGCTTGGAAAGAGCTGCTTCAGGAGAAGTAGCAGCTGATTTGATTCTACTCTAAGCTGAACGGAGAAGAATATCGCCACACAGCACACAGCTACCACCTGGGCATTAACAGCGTTGTAGAATTGCAGCACTGCACAACAAACGGGGGCTGTGGGCTGGTTTGATAAAAGAAATGAGAAGCAAAAGAAGGGAACATCAGGGAAAGTTCAACCATTTTTTTATATGCAGGGAGAGACAACCTCAAGTCCGAAGACCACATCGCCACCTACACCAAAGACATCTGAAGGCGAAGCCTGCGATCATTCGCAAATGATGTATTAGGGGTTTGCATGGACGAGAAGGTTTTGAGTAACTCGATAGTGGAAAAAAGCAGAAAAAATCGCGCCAAGTGCTTCAGACAAAGCTCTACCCCAGTGCCAGTTTGTGCGTACCCAATTAATTACATCTCTAACGCTACATGCAGCTGATCCCCCGATAAAACTCCACGACCATACAGACGATTTTCATGCATTTTCAACCTGCACCTCCGTCTTTCACTGAAACGGTGGGCCTTTGAGGCGTAGTCTGGAGGCGGAGTCCCACTGGAAAAAAAGGAGGCGTTACTGAACCTTATTGCGTTATAGCGCTCCTCCCTTACAATTTCTTGCCGCAAAAGGTACAAGGTTGTTCGCCGAGAACCACGCCACCCGACGCCTATTTTCAACTTCCTAATAGCGGACTGTGCCTTTGAGTACTGGATATACAAAAGTTTTGTAGGTAACACTGCCACAAGACATATAAGTGCCCGCAGTGTCAAGATCGTCACATGTGCGAGCACCAAACGTGACCCTGTAAGTTGAAATCAACTGCTGATTTTGAAAACTTGGTTCCGGAGACAATTTTTAGCAGATGTAGTCATAGAAAAACATACCTCAAAGGTGAAATGATTGAAAAAGTGCTGGGAGAATGAATAAAAGCGGTTCAACGCTAGCGCTGATGGGGTTATACAAGTCAAAAATGGCAAGAGGGACAGTTTTTGGCGCCCCCAGCGCTGGTAGTTCTGCAGGGAGAGCCACCCCCTGGGCAGCAGCCCTGCCGAACCTTCGGGAAGTCTCCTCTCTGCGTATGGGTTTGACCGCATGCGCTTAGATCT